GTGTAAAGTCTAGGGTTTAGGGTTTAGGGTTTTAGGGTTTAGGGTTTAGGGTTTTAGGGTTTAGGGTTTAGGGGTCTGGAGGTTTAGGGTTTGGGGTTTAAGGGTTTAGGGTTTAGGGGTCTAGAGGTTTAGGGTTTAGGGGTTGAGGGTTTGGAGTTTAGGGTCTAGGGTTTAGGGGTTTAGAGGTTTAGGGTTTAGGGGTTTAGGGTTTAGGGGTCTAGGGGTTTCTAGGAATTGTTAAGGGCTTGGGTGCGCTAGTTTTTGACCAAGACGTCTTGACCGAAAGTTTTGACCGACACGTTCTGTCCGAGTGTTTTTAATCCCTAAACCCTAAACCCTAAACCCTAAACCCGAACTTGATTTGGAATTTGGGGGCTGGCCGGTGGTGCTGGGACTGAGGCTGGAGCTGGGAGGACTGGCATTTTTTTCTTTTTTGAGGGTTTGGGGGTTTAGGGTTTCGGGATAGGGGTCGAGGGCCTTGGGCAGTGGGGCCAGAATCATTGGTGTCTTTTGGTGCCGGAATCTGTAAACCCAAGGCCCTAAAGCCCCCGAAAGACACATCAATCAGAAGGCCTAAGTGGTTTTCACGTTTTTGAAGCATTGACCTATCTACTATCGTGTAGTCTGTTCGTCCTAAACTCTGAGCTGCCGTCGTTTAGGGCTAAGGGTTAGCGTTTAGGGTTTAGGGTTTAGGGTTAAGTTCCGAATGTTCTGGCCTAGACCCATGCCATCCGCCGTGCCAGCCGCAGCGCTGGCATCTTTGAGCATGAGCGTGCCGTGGAGGTTTAGACAAGCCAGCAACCACGAACTCAAGTACGGAACCCTAAACCCTAAACCCTAAACCTAAACCCCAAACCTGTCGACAGCATCTGTGGAAAAAGCCGCAAGCCCGCCACAAGCATGGCAAATCAAGAGGGGCAAACCATGAACCCGACGTCTCAACCCTGAAGCCTAAATTCCCAACCTTGAACCGTGAAAGTAAAGCTCTGAATGCAAAAAAAGGCCCCAACCAATCTTGTTGGCCCGGGCAGGTTTGCAGCAAAAACAGGTTGCTGAGATTGCTGGACGGATACACCGCTACAAGGACTTTTGCAGCAGCACATCCCAGTCCGTCGATCGGGTAGTAATATCGGGGCCTTAATGTTTAGAATAGGGTTTTGGGGTATAATCGAATAGATTTTATCATCAGGAACCCCCAAATCCCTATTCTCTAACTGTTAAGGGTTCTGGTGATAGTAGGCTTCACGGGGTTTGGCCTTCTTGATCTCAGTTCAGGGTTGGGGAGTCCTAGGATCAGTGTGTCTATCTCGGTGGCAAGGGTTTGCCCCCGAGCGCAGCACGTAGCTGCAACCTGCCCAAAACGAAGAGGTTCTACATCCTCAAGCCGACCGGAAACCGAACAAAATTGACGCCTTGGTTACTAAACAACCCAATCTCAATCCCGACACAGAGGCAGCCAGTGACAGTGGCAACACCATCGCAACAACTTCAATTTAAGTATCAACATAGCCCACCCGCAGTTTCCCCACAAGCGATGGTTATCAAAGCTGCGATAAGCATCTTCTTTAGCATCATCGTAGTTTCAATCACAACCTTCGCAGCCACAATCATCATCTACGTTATGGGCATCACCATCACCACCACCATCATATTCTTCATTTTCTTCTTCTTCTTCATCATCATCAT